TAAAATTATTCAGAGTATTGATTATTTCGAAATTCATATGGAAGATTATCGTATGTATAGCTTGGCAGCAGTATTTTTGTAGAGAGACGTAAAGTGCTTAGGTATAACTAATAATTCTACGTTTCTGGTAGCCAAGTTATTGATGTTTTCAAATTTGTTGACTTTATTCAAAAGAAATTCTGGTTTCTTATTTACTAGAATCTTATGAACCAAACATGAACTTTGGTATTTTCCGAGATTCTGCATGTTCTTTTTACAATTCTTTTTGAAAACATGGCTTATATGATCAAAGTTCCGTATACCTAGAGAAAAACGATAACAAGAATTTTGTAGCCGTTGTAACCTGTCTTTATCACTTTTTGTTATACCTGCCACATCCCACTTCAGTTGGCCCACTTCAAGATTTGTACCAAAATATGCCTTTATAAACTAAACATGACGATACTATTTACTTCTAAAACAATTTATTTTCTCAAAAACTATTTAGATACACTCTAGTCGTAAAAAATACATATTTGAAATCACTTAGACCTATAACTAATAGAACATCTGAACAAATAAACAATGTGCGAATAAATGCGCGAAGTTAACAAAGCAACAATTAAAAGATTACCTTTGGGTAACATCACTTTTATTTTTTATTACGGCTGACATTCTTTGAGGCATAGTGTTAAAAGGTTTGGCAAAAATTTGGTGTAAAGCAATCCCATATTTCTTGAAGCTTTTGTCTCAGTTAGGTGATTGTACGAGCAGGATGTTGTAGAACATTTTTCATCTCGTGCCACAAAGTTTCAATAGGTGACAGATCTGGAATGCTAGAAACCCATTTCAAAAGTGGTACATTATTTTCTTCCATCCATTTTATATCCTTTTTTGAGGTATGGCACGCTGCACTATCTGAAACACAAAATCTTGGCCGGATGTCAAACATTCTTCCATCACTGGTAAAAGCGATTCTTTTAAAATTGCCAAATATTTGTTTGTATCCACATTTCCATCAATAAAATCAAGTTTCCCTACTCATTTTGATGACATACTGCCCCAGACCATAATGGATGCTGGAAAATTCACTTTTCTCTTCAGATAGTCAACATGGAATGCTTCATTTTTTTTGCGAATAGCTCGACTGCGACTGTCACCAACACAAACTTCGAATCGGGCCTCATCACTCCATTGTATTGCACACCATTGTTGATGTGTCCATTGTCTATGGTCTTTAGTCCATCTAAGCCGATTTTTGTTTTGTAGTGGAGTTAATAGCGGCTTTTCTTTGGCCTATAAACAAGTTATGCAACTTTAGGGTTTTTACTTCAGTTTTTTTTTTATAAGGAAACTTACCCTGCAAGTGCTAAATCCCAGTTTGTGAGCCTCTCTATGAGTTGTGGACCTCGAAATTCTCCTTCCAACAGCGTCACTCCACAGAGCACTTAATTGTAAATAATTGGCACGCCTGCTTTTCACGATTATTCTTCTTAATGCTCTTCGGTCGGCATTTGTGGTATTACTTTTTTTCACATATCGTGGCTTCATATTAACCGAACCAGTTACGTTATATCTTCTAACAATATTTCTCACACTGTACCGCGATAAGTCTAACAAAGTTGCAATTTCTGAGTTTGATTTCCCAGAATTAAAAAATTTCATTATCGGTAACCGAATTTTGTCACTAATAACCTTTCCTCTGCCCATTTTGAAAACCTTAACTAACCAAAACTATTTTAAACGTATTCTGACAGCTGTGAGTAGTAAAAAAATTGTCATGGCTTTTATTTTTCACAGCGTTATAGACTTATTTTGCATTAAAATGAAAATAGATTGATATGCTGTAATTGCAACCTGTGTTATTTTTATGCTGCAAATTTGATTAGGGAGTGATAAAGTTGGTGAGATGAAAAAGGTTGTACGACAACATCCTGCTCGTACAATCACCGAACTGAGACAAAAGCTTCAAGAAATATGGGATTGTTTTACACCAAATTTTTGCCAAAACTTGGTTAACACTATGCCTTAAAGAATTTCAGCCGTAATAAAAAATAAAGGTGATGTTACCCAATGGTAATCTTTCAATTGTTGCTTTGTTAACGTCGCGCATTTATTCGCACATTGCTTATTTGTTCAGATGTTCTATTAGCTGTAGGTCTAAGTGATTTCAAATATGTATTTTTTACGACTAGAGTGTATCTAAAATGATTTTGAGAAAATAAATTGTTTTAGAAGTAAATAGTTTCGTCATGTTTAGTTTATAAAGGCATATTTTGGTACAAATCAAGTACGCCAACTGAAGTGGGAAGGGGCTCGTATGTCGCCAACCGTGATTAAAATGACGATCCGGCAATCAGCCGGAATACGTGCTATTCAAAAGTCTATCAGCATTGTGTGGAAAATTGGATAAACATAGGGTGAACAACTGAATCTGTGTACTTTCCATCTCCTTAACCGTCAACAAATGTATATAGCGCTGTTCTATGCTTTTGCTTCTTACGACAGTGGGTAAGGAAGCATTGTAATTGCGAAAACTTCCAAAAATTATTCTGAGGATATTTTACAGGACCCTTACCAATGGGATCCCGTAAACCGTAAAAGATACAAAATTTAAATGGGACTAACGTTGCGCATTTAGGCAAACAAAAAGTAAAGTTATGCCGAGGCAGACAACATCTCGGGGATATACAAACCTTTTATGATAGTTTGACTTGTGGTTACGTAACTACTACAGAAGACTGAATAGACCCTTTTATTTTATTCATTTATACTTATACAGGGTGTTTCAGAACTGAGGGATCAAACTTCTAGGGGTCATTCAGTGTAACAGTAGAAAACATTTGAGTATAGGGACCCATATCCGGAAAAGGGTTAATACGTCACTACGACCCTAAGACGCGTTAAAATTTAGAAAAACGATGAATTGCCTTAATAGGATTTAGTGCATTTAATTGTTGCCTTTTGTACCTGATATCATCACAACAATTGTTCAAAATGTCTTTCTCCAACCTGAATATGCCCATTTAAACGTCGCACATGACTTCGGCGGACTTGACTAAAAATTTGATACTCGTTTTGTATGATTTCAAATGCTGCTGTAATTGGTCCAATTAAGCCTTGCTCTGTTTCTACTGGAGTTTGGTAGACCAAAGACTTTACATGTCCCCACAGGAAAAAATCTAGCAACGTTAAATCGGGTGACCTAGGAGGCCAAAAAACTGCTCCACCTCTGGCAATCCAACGTTGCCCAAGCCGCTGAGCCAAATACTCACGTACTTATACAGCAAAGTGAGCCGGCGCTCCATCATGCTACGAGGGATGTCTTTTAAGTTTTGCATATAGAACCATAGTAGGCCGCGCGGATCGAACGTCAGTACTGAATGTTAACCTCACTCTTTAGAAAACTTAAATTCAAAGTTTCACAACAATACGTGCAGTGTTCTCACTACAGTGAATTTTTAACCCTCCATTAGTCGCGTGGATAATTGTAATGCCGAGAATCGCGCGGATGACAGTGGTCATCCAGTTATTAAATAATATATCTTTCAAAGAATTATTAAAAAACGAAAAGTTTGGTGGAACAATGTTTTATTTTATAATATTTATATTGGATATAAACTAATACGTCAATCTAATATAGGGATTTTAATAAAACTAGAATTACCAAATAAGAACTAAGTATAAGTATTTACTGACTCTGAACACAACTGGTACAAATATTTTTAAGGTGGTCTACACAGGCCCAATTATTACATTTGTAACACCATTTCCTGCTCATTTTGTTACGTTGCCTTCCACACTGATAGCACCGCCCTCGTGACCCGGTTTTATCATATTGCTGCATTGTCTCCTCCTGGATCCCTACAAGTAACTTAGCTCTTCTCCGAAGCTCCCTTGGGAGGGTTTCGATGCTCGCCCTCCGCTCTATTTGTGGTTTTATTAGAGCCCAACTGACGTTTTCTAGAAATTCAGCTCTTTTTGCATTTGTTGTTGAAGCTGCACAGTGGTGTCTATAGATACAAAACGAATTTATTGCCGCTATGTTGAGAAAATCATAAAACAGTACCATGGGCCACCGTCTTGTACTGCGTTGCCCGTTATTTTTTTGACACAATTGATCTAAAAGGTCAACCCCAACTTTAGTCATATTATAAAACATGACCATTTCAGGCTTTTGTGCTTCGCCTGTTGAAGCATCTACGGCTCCATCAAAGTGCGTTGTAGATAATATGATAACTGTTTTATTTTTTTTTGGGCAGTAGGATACCAGACTACAGTCTTTCTGAAATCCAAAGGTTGACGAATTTATTTGTCTGCTTTTGTTTGCTAAAAATTCTTTGGGTATTTCCCTCTTATTTTGACGCATAGTACCATTATGGAAAGACTAGAAAACCAGTTATCACCAGTAATGTTTCTGTTCGTTCCTCTTACTGGTTCCACTAAACGAAGGACGATGTCTTCAGCCGCATTGCTGATGCTATATGGTCGATCTGGCTGTTTGCCAACATATGGTTCTAAGTTTAGCGTGTAAGCTGTTTTTGAGTCGGCAAGAACAAAAACCTTCAAACCATATTTGGCAGGTTTACTTGGAATATATTGTCGAAATGAGCATCTTCCTCGAAATGACAGTAATTGCTCGTCGACAGTAAGATACTCACTTGGAGAAAAGTACTCCTGGAAGTTTTTATTGAACAGTTCCATTATTTTTCGTACTGGTGCTAGTTTATCAAGGGCCTTTCTTTGTTCCCTATCACGAATGTCATCAAATCTTAGACATCTCAGAAGAAATCTTAACCGGTTTTCTGACATAGATAAATAACATGATTCGAGACCGTTGCCTTTTGAATTGTCCCATAATTTATTGACATTTTTTTTAGAACAGCGTAAAGATCCAATAAGGTATAACAAACCGATCAAAGCTCGAACTTCTAAAGCATCAGTCACTCTAGCATCTCTTTCCCTACCAAATTTAGCCCGAGCTTTCTGGATATAAATATTTGTTGAATCTACAATGGTCCCAATAATATGCTGGTCCAAAAATAAATTGTAAATATCAATTTCCGATTTCAACTTGCGAGCTTCATTTCTTGGACCTGGCAGGTGCGTTATAATATTGCAAGCTCGTGTTCTAACATTGAGAGGAAAACTACCGTTTTTCCACCTTGTCATTCCATCCTTTGCAAGGTACGTATCATCATCCAGCATTCCCTCATCTTCGTCGTCTAAACTTTGCTCGTCAGCTCCCTGTTCACTATCTGTGTCATGTTCCGGGTCACTTTCATCTTCCTCCATTTCATTATACCATTCCATCCACTTCTTGGGATCGGTGCTACTTTCCCTTCTTGGTCTTTTTGTTTGTGACATTTTCGAAAATCTGAAAAAAACAGATTTCTTACAATAATTGTTTTATAATACTTCGAGAGTAAAATATTATTTTTAACCCTATATTTAGTCACTGTAAATAATATACATATACGTATATAATGTATCAAATTCTAAAGAAATTAGAAAATGCAAAGTGCCATAATAGTAAAAACAAAGAATACTTACTAAAATCCAATGTATTAGCACTATTAGTCGCGTGGATGACCAGTGTCATCCACTATCAAATACGTCTGAAAACGCAAACAACTGTAACGACGCGACAACAACTAATAACAGATACACGTACCTAAACTATTTGTAGGAAGGTACATAGAATCTCGCGCGATAAATCCTAACCAATGAAATGCAGTATTAGACAAATGAGGCGTGGATGACCAGTGTCATCCGCGCGACTAATGAAGGGTTAAGTGTCACCAAGTCATTAGAAAAATGGAACTCAATCCAGAACATTTTCGCGTCATAATTTATTACAACTTTCAGAGACAATTATCGCAACAAGAATGCCTTGCTGAGTTACTGTCTGTTTCGGCAACGAAGCGCCACTTCAGCCGACAATTTCCCGTTGGTATGGAGAATTCAAACGTGGACGGGTGAGTCTTAGCGACTATCCCAGGGTGGGTGCACCAAAAAACGGCAGTCACCCAGGAAAACGTCGATGCTGTGCGCAAACTCATCATTGAAGATAGACATGTTACATATCGCGAGATTGAGGCGTCATTGAAGATCTCAAAGACCCCAATTCAAAAAAAATGACTTGAAGAATTAGGAGTAAGAAAATTAGTTTCTCGTTGGATACCTCACCTGTTGACTGAAGAGCAGAAAGCAGTTAGAATTAATTGGTGTCAAAAAACGCTTGACCGTTTCAATTCCGGAAACTCAAAAAGGTGACCTGTCGGGCACAGCTAATAGATATACTTCGCTGGCAGCATATTTAGTAATGATTATCTCACCCAGCAAATATCACATTCATACCAATGCACACAATCATCCAGATGCGATCTTGCTATTCAACCAACTTTCTTCTCAGAGATGAAAACTATAGACTACTCGGCTTCACAAAACATATGCAACCAACAATGCGTGTAATTGAGCAATTCCTCCATAGATGGACGCTCAGAACAATCCTAGTGAGCAAATGTAGAATTACTGTCTGCACCATAAAAACTACCTAGTCTGTAAGATGATACTTATAGTTTTTTTTAACGTTCTATAGGTTTTTTACAGTATACCAGTATACCGTTGCTAACAAGTGCGTAATTCAACGAAACATCTCTATCATTACGTTTTGCTATTTTGCACTTTTACGACCGAAAACTGCATTCGGTTGAATCATTGCAAAATAGCTTACGAAGCATTCCCAATCGCTAATCGTATTATTTAAGGGCAAATTCGTGCCGAACGTCTTTTGTAAACATCAAACCCTCTTCCTTCTTGACGACGGCAGCTCACCTATGCGGAAAATAAATCACCCAAACCTAATTTGTACCAAATAAAATTTTATTTTCTCCCCGCACCAGGGCCGTGTTATGCTTGCTAATCATATTCCAAAAAATGGCGGAGGGACCGATCCGAGAATGTAACGAGATCGAGCGGGGAAATCGCTGCAAAATTTTCGTGTTTTATTTTTATGGGGCAAATATGGAGGCAGTCGGGGTCGGAAAAGCTACACGCATTTCGCATCCCACATCAACAAACGGGAAAGACATTGTGAGTGTTTACGAGAACGTATCGCTACTACCTTCAATAGGGAGCATGCGATGTTTTTATTTTCAATGATTTTGGAGGATAGTTCAGGTAGTAATAAAAAAACTAATTAGAATTCTTTAATTCCTACTAACGTGAAAGTTTTGTAATCGCTCAAAGATTTCTAAAATAGGATATCGTCGCTGGTATGATGAAACCTCCTTAATAAAAATATAGTAATTGTTCTGAATAAACATGCTCCAATAAAAACAAAACAAATAACCGAAAAACCTTATGTAAAGCTCATAAAAAATTTCAAAAATCAAAATCACGGGCTCATTTTGAATATTATAAACAACTAAGGAACTATACAAAGCATGCAATTATCCAAGAAAAAAAATACATTCTTTAACTTACTCTCAACAAAGAAAGGTAAGGAATTTTGGGACACTACCAAAAAGCTCAACATAACATGCAAGAAAACTCACTCAACTATATCCGAACACTTACAAGATGTAAATGACATACACAATTACTTCCAGCAGACCGACAATTTACCAGACACTGCTTCCCAAGAATTAATCAATTTTTAAAAAAACAATGTAAACATTAACGATTCTCTTAGCTTCCAACTGTTAGACAGGGCCAGTCTAATTGAAATTGTAACTAATATCTCATCAAATGCCATTGGAGAGGATGGTTTCTCTATGAGAGACCTAAAGTTATGTATCCCATTTTGTACGAAGCCCTTGCTGAATATAATCAACACATGTATTTTGGGGGGATTATTTCCAGAAATATGGAAGAAAGCTATTGTTAAACCCTTACCAAAATAGCAGAACCTAAAGAATTTACAGACTTGAGGCCTATTAGCATATTACCCGCTACATCCAAAATTTTAGAAAGGCATATTTATAATCAAATTAGATTTTTTTGTGACACAAACGATATCATACCAGACAGTCAATCCGGTTTTAGAAAAAACTTTAGCACAAGTACATCATTAGTTAATATCTTGGATGATATCAGACATCATCGAGAACAAAAAAATAGTACGTGCATGGTTCTTCTCGACTTTAGTAAAGCGTTCGACACTCTGAATCATGAAATGTTACTAGCTAAGTTACATTACCAGGGGTTTTCGCAGAACTCCGTAAATCTAATAAAAACATACTTAAGCAACCGTTCAAACTGTGTTATGTTAGCAAATGATTCTGCTATTTACAAAACCGATTTTAAACCTATAAAAAGAGGAGTTCCTCAAGGTTCAATTTTATATCCTTTGCTCTTTTCAATCTACATATCTGACATGGTCAAATCGGTAAAATTCGCAAAGATAAAACAATATGCAGATGACTCACAAATATATCTCCCTGTCAATAAAACCACAATCCATATTGCACAACACCAACTAAATTCAGATCTCCAAAGAATTGACAGATTTGCAAAGCATCACAATCTTAAACTAAACCCCTCAAAATCGCAAGTAATGGTTATGAATAAAACAGTACTGAAAGAGAACATTTTGAACAAAATTTAGTAATTTCTATTATCAATGACAGAATCCTCATAGTTCAGGAGGCAAAAAATCTAGGCATTATATTTGATAGCTCGCTTGGCTTCGGGAGTAATATAAAAAACAGAACAAATTTAGCTTACATGCGACTAAAAAATATAAACAAATTAAAAAAACATTTATCAGCCAAACAAAAATATTATTTGTGTAATACCTTACTTTTATCACTTTTTGACTATGGAGATGTCGTCTATGGTGATTCGCTATCGTCGCGAACCAAAAAATGCATCCAAAAAGTTAAAAATAGTTGCATGAGATTTGTATTTGGAATTCCATATCGAAACCATATCACTCCTTATCTGAATAACTACAACATATTAAACATGACGAATCGCAGAAAATATCACATTTATTCTTTTATCTATAGGGTTATAAAAACAGGTCAACCGCCCTATTTAAGAGAAAGATTTGTGCCTTTGCCTAGTGCCCAGAGAAGTAGAAATAATCTCAATTTTATCGTACCTAGGCATAGAACGCGTTCCTTCCGACAATTGTTTGCCTATGTGGCGGTTCACTTATGGAATAATTTACCAACTTCAGTTAAAAGCTCATCGTCAAAAACATTCTCAAAACTGACAAAAACGTTGTTACAGAATCACCAGCTACTTTAGCAGCGTTTGTGTGAGCAAAAATATCGTTTTTACATTCCTACTCGATGACAGGTTGTATAGATTTGTTTTTCGCGTCCGTTGCCAGCTCCCGGCGATTCTCTCTTCGTTTTTGCCTTTTTTGTGTATCACCGCCTCTTCATTTGCCTATTTATTGTATTTTTTATTTGGTTTAAGAACTTTTAGGGTATTCAGGGCTTTCTCGCATGGACTCTTTGTATTAGAGGGTCCAATGTATCGGTTTTGTAATCGTGAGACTGTCCTTTTTCGTCATTACTCTATATGCAGAATTTCTTTTGTTTATGATGTTTATTCATGACGAAATAAATATTTTGAATTTGAATTTGAATTTTGAACTTGGTATGATGAAACCTCCTATGTAACAATTTTTCCACATTCTGAATATGTGTATAGTCAAATACGATCTCTATGATCTGATGTTCAATTTTGTAGAGGTTCACTAATCGGTGCGAATTGGGGCGAAACCAATTTTTCAAATGTCATTCTGTGAAAACTGCTTCTAAACATATACGAGTTCACGTCAAAACAAGGACGAAATTTTCTTTTTGGGATGGCATTGCATCAGGAAAAACCATGTCACTCATTTCCGTCGGTCTGTCCGCCTGTTTGTCGGTTAGCACTTAATTTTTTATTCACGTACTACCTGTAAGGAATATGCTACAGTATATTCAGATAAGAGATAGACCGGATGTAAACAAAAGGTTCGGGTGATTTTCTCGCTAACGCCGCCGTCTCGACGTAAAACAGGAGCCCTCATTGGTCAATTCGCAATTAAATGCCTATGCCGAGCGGCAGAGCAGTCGTATCAAGGCAGAGTCACATTCAGGTTCAGACGTGTTACGTATGTCGTGTGCATCATTGCAATTTGATATTTCTTTGGACGTTTTCGTTTGTTATCTTATTAAGTTGTTGAGTTTGTCGTTGTTATTATTATACCTTGTTATTGATTGTTATTGTTATCAACTGCTTGCGCAAAATGCACAGTAGTACAGATACTGCCGATGAAGTTGTAAACTCCTGTAGTCCACCTAGGAAACGCTCTAAAAAAAGACACCTGAGTGCAGAAATGAAAGAGGTCATTTTGAATATATATAAGATCGAGCGCGAGGAGAACGAGGCATCAACCATCAAAGAAATTGTTGTGAAGGTTTCTCACAAAGTTGGGGTGTGTCGCGCATCAGTGTTTAATGTGTTAAGACAATACAAAAAAAATCACACCTTTTCTGAGCCAATGACCAGTAAACATCGCAAAAGTATTGTTAAATCATTGGATGAAGCTGATAAGCATGCGATTAGGAGGAAAGTGCATGAATTCTTCTTTAGGAATGAAATACCTACTATAGATAAAGTACTGCAGGAGGTAAATGGAGATACAACGTTGCCAAATTTCAAACGATCAACTTTCCATGCGTTACTGAAGAATTTAAATTTCAAATGGAAAAAACGGGGTCGTAATAGTTTACTACTGGATAGAGAAGAAATTGTGCTATG